AGAGAAACAGGTCGCGGGATCGAATCCCGACGGACTCAGAACCAGGCAACATCAAACAACTTTAATGTACAGCTCGCATGCCACTGCAATTCATTCACCTGTGCTTTAGCGGTGTTGGAGCTATCGGTTGACTATGTGGAGCCAACACTTTTAAACGTGCGATGCTGGCGAGATGCTTTTGATTGTTGGTAGCACGGCAGTTTTCTGTAGTGGAATTTTTGTTTAGGTTTTTTCTGTAGGTTTTTGTTCTGTTCGACGGTTTTGGTGTTCTTGCGGAATTCCTTGGTTACCGTTTTCTTTGAAATTTTTGGTGGAATTCTTTGGGTACGTTTGTTAGAACCTTCAGTGGGGTTCGGTCTTTACTAGGCTATTTGTTTCTGGCTCGGTGGCGGTTCGGTTTTTACTACGCTTTTTGTTTCTGGAAGCTTTTGCTGTACTTCTCTCTTTTATTTTTTTATTATTAGTTAGTTTTTTGTTTTCGTTGTCGCTAGTATTTTGGATTTCACGGAATTTAGTTCTCATTGGCTCTTAGGATTTTGAGAGATTTCTGTAATCTGCTGGTTTTATCAGTTCTCGTTAGTTTTTTGGATTTTACGGAACTTACTTTTCATTGACCCTTAGGACTCTGTGGGACTTATATGGTGCTCGGAAATGGGGCGTCAGATATTTGTGTTTTGGGGGGTTAGCGTTGTGGGTTTCTACAGAGGGGAGGCTTGGAGGTGGAGTTCCTTCGAGACCGGGTGCCCTCTGTTATTTTTGGTCTATTCTTTACTATGTTGATGTATGCCTTGGGCACTGGGCCCGATTGAAATAAAAGTCCAGCAATCCCGGGAAAAAAAAAAAAAAAAAAAGGGCCCGATTGAAATAAAAGTCCAGCGATCCCGGGAAAAAAAAAAGTAAAAAAAAATTATGGCGGTGTAAAAAAAAAAAAAAGTCGTGCCCATTAACGCGCCACTATTTTAGGAAACGTGCGGGCCACTACAGGAGCGCCCAAATTCATCCAGCTAGAAACGTTTCTACTCTATTTTTTTGGTGGCGGATAGCTGGGCCAAGTACTACAGTCTTCCCCCGAGTACAACGTACGGTCATTATAGCTGTATCTAGACTGAAAGATGCCTCAAATACAGCTATACATTGACCGTGCGTTGTATTCGGGGGAAGACTGTAGTGGTTTAAGTTACAAGCTGGCTTTTATGCATTATAGTTGACCCACCCTTTTTTTTTCCACTCAGAGCGTACTCACGCCTGCACTATCTAAAATGCATCTAACCGCATTTACGGCCGAACCTGTATGCATCTGGCTGCATTTGCGTCCAGAAACAAGTAAAAGAGAGCTCGTATGAGTGAGCCATCAGTCTCCACAGTTTCCCCCTGGAATTCAGTTGTAAAACGAACATGCTAACCTCCTTTCTCCCTTTTGTTTATTTTTTTTGTTAATACTCATTTATTTATTTAATATTTATTTTACAAAACAGTTACTTTCTTTTGTACAACCAGCTTCCTAACCTCCGTTCTCCCTTTTTTTATTTTTTTTGTTAATATTCATTTATTTATTTATTTTGCAAAACTTTCTTTTGTACAACCAGCTTCCTAACCTCCTTTCTCCCTTTCTTTTAACTTTTTGTGTTGTACTCTTTTTTTTTTTTTGTGTGTGTGTGTCCCCGTATGTGCGACAAAGGCTGCTTATGTGTCAGAGAGTGGCAGCATTCCTTGTTATGGCTCAGGGCAAAATCACCTGCCAATGATTCATGTGCTTGACTTCGCGACATACGTCACACAGCTGGTAAAGGAGAGACCAGATGGACATTATTTTCTTGCCGTAGATGGGACAAATCCAACCCTACAGACAGTATCTCAGGTTGGTCGGTGCCCGTTGGACTTCTGCTTTATTTTATTTTATTTTCATTTTTTGTTTGTCTTCTGTTTTCTCTCTTGAAGTTCATCGGTTTTTTTTTTTTTTTTTCCCCTTCCCCTTTCTTTTTTTTTTTCTTTAAACGCCCTTGAGATATCTCATTGAACTGACCGGCCGTACGTAATAATTCCGAATTGCATAATTATTATTTTTTCTCATTTGCTTCCAGTGGACTTTGAACTCAGGTTTGGATTTCAACAGTTGCGGGTTGTACCAACTGAAAAAAAGAAAAAAGAAAAAAAAAAAAGGAGATAGCCCAGTTGGTAGTTTGCCCTCTTCTTCCTTTGACATCCTGTCAGTTCCCTTCCCTCCCCCTCCCCTCCCCCCCCTCTCCCCTCCCCCTTCTTGCATTCACCTTCCGAAGTGCAGTGGGCGCATTGCAATAACACCCCAACCATCCTCCTCCTCCTCCTCCTCCTCTGCCTCCTTCCCCTCTGACGATGAAGCATTAAACTTTTCTCATGCACCTACTGCTGAGCTGAACAGTTCTTAACAAAAGATGGGGACTTGAGCTCAGGGGTGTGGTTCAGCGTGTTCAAGCCTCAAGGGGGTAATAACAGAGAGAATGGAGGGTCAATTACCAATTATGACATTTGGTGTTGTGGAAGAAGCATGACATTTGACAGATAATTGTTTTTTTTTGGAGTGCGGCTCTTTGTTTCACGGCTGCTGTCCTGAACAGGCCATAGCCAAATCAATGGGCAGCAAGAGCGTGGAGATGGGCCCGATGATCCCAGCTTCGACTCCGACCGTGGGATCAGGCCCATCTACCGTGATTCAGGACTCCGAGAAGAGCGCCAACGGCAGCAGCAGTGTCAGCTATTTACTAGTGAACCTTCCATTAGCCCGGACGCCAATTCCAAATGTTTCATTCCAGTTTGAGGTATCTACTATCTGCATTCAAATTTCAAAATAATTTCATATGTTCATTCGACTTCATTGTCTGTTTTCTTGATTTTTTTATTTAATTTTTACTATGTATTTACTGTTTATTTACTAACTAGTAACTACTATTTATCCTTTGAAATAATGCCAGACACCGCATGTTTTGAAATTTGAAACCCTGAAGGCAATAAAAAACTCGCGCCGGCAAAGAAACCACGCGCCAACTTGAAATCAGCGATTTCGGTCCAAATCTCCAAAAGTATCCATTGGCCTTTTTTTTCCTTTTTTTTTTTTCCCCTCTGACATCACGGTCATCGGTCCTTCCGTCGCCTTTTCGAACTCGGCGTGGTTTTTTTTTGCCCACGCGTGTTTATTTTTGCCCATTCGATACTCAAAGGTGACATGAATGTACGTACCTCTTTTTTCGCTTTTGTTTGTTCGTTCCTTAAACCTCCATAATTCTTCTCTCTTGTTTCGCTTTCCTACCTTTTCCGGTCTTTTTTTTTTTTTTTTTTTTGGGGGGGGGGGGGGGGGGGGGGGGGTTGAAGTTTGAACCCCACGCACAGTCTTGCCCCTTCTTTTCTGGTCTTTTTCGTATGAACTAAATTAAATCTGAAACGTGCATTTTCTGCACTAGAACCCAATCTGCAACATCTACAAATCAACGAACCCCAAGTTTTTTGCTCGTTTTTAAAAAAAAAAGGGGGCAAGTACATTGGAGTCACACCCACCGTTCAGGTTACGCCGTTCAGGTTACGCAACTTTAGCAGTTCCCAAACTGGAGCCAAGAAGGGGACCCCAAAATCTGCCAGGCCCACTGGCGGTAATGACTTATGCAGTTTTTTTAGACGGCGCCCTCTAAACTTGACATTTTAGAACTCACACGAGTCACACCATGACCCCGGTGTCACCTCGTCTTTTCGTGCGTATTTCAAACGAAAAGTGTGTCACAGCCACAGTTTCCCCAAATTAAAAAAAAAAAAAACTGGTCTATGTCATTCAAGTTGATTCAACCTTGTTCGATCTTAAGCCGCCAGTACCCTTTCCCAGCCATTTTCCAATGACGTGGCTGCGGAGGGGCTGCATGCGCGGCGGCATGAACTGGCATGCCAGTTCGTGACACATACTTCCAAGCAAAGCATGTTGCATGCATGGCTCACTTTGCCTGGATATACTTTTGCGACCCGACAGGCCGGTACATCCCACCAGCAGAATACACACGTGGAATACAATAAAGAAGAAGGTGACATGAGTTTTTAATATCATGGCGAAATCACCATCCTCCCGGCATCACCCCGACCTCACACCGTCAAGGTACATCCCACCAGATATGACACTGCATGCAGCCGCGGCCGCATTGTACAAAAAAGGACTGGGAAGCGTACTGTTGGTTTTAACCACCACCAGTACTTCCTAAAGTTGTGCCCATTTACAAGCCACAGTTTTAGGAAATGTACAGGCCACTACAGGAGCGTCCAAATTCATCTGACTGCAAACATTTCTACTCTATTTTTTTCCACGTCCCATAGATGGGCCAAGTCCTGGTGGTTTAATCTACCTTATCGATCCTTCTTGACAATGTCGGGTACACCATACTTTGGTCAGTGGATGGTACATCCATGCGTAGTATGAAGGACGGGGTGTTTTTCCCTTTCCTTTGGGTTCTCCCCCCCCCCCCCCTCTCCCGCTTTTTTTAAGCATAGAAAATATTGCTAAACAGGTTTTTTTTTTTGTTTTTTTTTTGGTACCAAAGAAACCAGTTTTCTCACTAGAGGAGGTGATATTGCTAAACAGAATGTAGTGCATCAGCAAATTTAAACACCAACAGAACAGAAATTACTCACATGGTTTGTATTTCCTAGTTTGACTGATATGTCTTATTGTGTTTTCTGCTTTATTGGTTGGTGAAAGAATGAGGGTGGGTATGGTCATAGGACCATTAATGCACCCGAGCCAATAGGAGCTTGGAAGCCAAGCACCATTGGGTTGGAATAGTACGGGGATGGGTGACCTTCCCAAAAGACTCAAAAGTCATGTCGTTGTGCTTTAAAAATGTTGGTCAACGGTCAATGATTGGTCCCCACCTGTCAGGAAGGGACTGTCACAACTTTTAGAGTCCAAACATGGATAGGAAGAGATTTCCAAGGACTGTGCAGCACACTGGCATCAAAAAACTGACACGTGTGTGTGTGTGTGTGTGTGTGTGTGTGTGTGTGTGTGTGTGTGTCGTGTGTGTTTGTAATATTGATACTGAACCCCCACGTCGGTTGACGGGGGGGTGCAAAGCTCAGCTCGGAGGATTAAACCATGAGCCTGGCATGAGGCACCAGCGGACCTCTAGGCTTTCCAAATGCATTGTTGCCAATTTGTTGGAGAAAATAAGAACAATTTAAAAATCTTAAGTTCGTCGAGCTCCACGGCTAAACCATAGTGCATATGACTCGGGACCGTATTTACGGAGACAAAGATTTTTAAATCGTTATTATTTTAAGGACAGCGTAAATACCTTCCTTGGTGTGACTCGGGACAGTCCTTTGTACCTTGTAGAGATCAAGCAGGGAGGCTCCAAGATAGAGATTCAAAGGGCGGGGGGGGGGGGAGGGGGGGGGGGGGGGAGGGGGGGAGGAGGCAGGAGGAGGAGCGGCGTGTGAAAAGGATAAGGACAGCAAGTGAGGGAGTCTCAGGGAGAAACAGAATTCCATGCAAAGAATAGATGGACTGAAAAACATGCATGTCAGCATTCGCGGCTGAAAGGAGACAAAATCCTAGCCTCACGATTCCTCACGTCGACGTGCTCGATTCATTGGTGAGCACATTCAGCATCCATTCAAGCCTGAAGGCATATGATGTGGACATAGTGCGAGTGAACGAACAGCCCGTATCTATGGGGGTATCTCTAAACACTAGTAAAAAGGCAGGGCACTCCTATGAGTAGATTTTTTTTTTTTTTTTTTTTTTTTTTTT